GCTTGAATTAATAATCAATGTTTATTTCATTGCTTGAAGATGAAATTCCTTTGGCTTCAAAAAAATTCTTTGTCATTGATAAAAAAAAATATATTTCTTTCTTTTGGTCTAAAATAAAAACATCTAAAAAAGGCGTTTAACAAAGCTTGTTATTTTCTTGATTGATGAGTATTATTGAATTGAAATCTTCATAAAGACATACTCCAACAAATTTGGAAAAAATTTAAAACACATATTGATATGAAATATTTGAAGTTCTTGTGATATGTATAAAAGATCATCAAACTTGAAGTGCCATTTAGATAATGGCATCATTCTTTCATCATATGACAATCATTTCAAATCCATCATATGACTATCATTTTAAATAATTTTTTCTAAGAAATCAACTTCAATTGTGTAAATTATACATTTCTTTATGTTAATGTATAGTCTTCCTTCTTTAAATTTTTGTAACACTTAATAAACATGAAATTCATGCTTTTATGTATTCTTAGAGTAAATAAAAATTATATCTAAATAATATATAAAAAATTCATCTAAAAATTCTTAATAAACATCATTCATAAGATGTTAAAAAGAAATTGATACATATGTGAGTCAAAAAAGCATGATGGTATATTTAAAATATCTATACCTGATTATAAATAAAAATTTATATTTATTCTCTTTTTTAATATATATTAGATTTTTTTTACTCATTATAGATCTATTTTTATATGGATCTTTTCTTAATTCAATTATTCAAAAAGTCTTGATATCAAAGATAGAAGAAATCTATTTTTAATAATGATCATTTAGAGTCATTGACAATTCATATATATATTGGCATTGATTTGTCATTTTTTTTTTCAAATAAGATAGGAGCTCGTGTTAAAGATTTTGAATGGTATATAAAGTTTTTAGTAAGATTCTTGTTAATATATTCCTTGGATTCAGTCAACTCGTTTTGCAATAAGCTATAAATTGATCCAAATGGTAGTTGAATTCTTACTTGATAATCAATTGAGTAATTATAAAAACAATGCTATAAAAGAATATTTATATTCTTCTTCTAAAAAATGTCTTGATAATCTTGGTATTGGCTTAAAATGATACTTGAAGTTTTTTATTGTAAAAAATAGATTTGGCATAAATAAAAAATATGAATCTTTTTTTATAAGACAAATGAAAGTTTTTGTACCTATCAATAAGAATTTGGTTCTATTGGACTTATGATTTTTACTTAGATAATAAAAATATGGATTATATTGTAGAAAAAATTAAGGTTATAAATTTTTTAGTTTATTCAAAGAATATATATTTTTAGCCATAATTAATCTAAAATAATTAGATTGAAAGGAGATTTAATAAAGTTAAATATTACTAAGCTATTATATCTATTAATTGCTATACTTTTAAAAATATACCACCTATAATTTTTACATATATAAGATTTTTTTTCTAAATTAAAAATATTTTATATTTTTCAACAAGGCCTTTGTTTATAAAAACAAGTTAAGACTCCTAAATCTAATAAGACAAACACTTTATAATATTTTGATCCTAAAAAAATATCTATTATAAATCAAGGTGTTGGATGTGAAGAGAGAATATGATCTTTATTGGTAGTTGTATAAGATTCTAGTAGCATAATTTCTATTGTAATTGGACAAACTTGTTTTTACAATACATTGTCTTATTTAGCAACCATGTTCTTTATTTTGTGATTGTGTTACTTCTTTGGATATATTGAGCAATGTATATAAGTTCTCTATAATATAAGCATAATTCTTCTTCACAACTTCAAGTCTAAATTAGCTTAATGAAATATTTAAAATATATTGTATTAATTTGTCTAAATTTTGGCGTTGATGAATAAATTTCTAAAAATTTAGAAATTATTATCAGGACATGACTTATTCTTCTTCATCCAAATCTTTATTCTTAGCATATTTCAAAAAGTTTATTATTACAAGCAATGGCTTAAACAAAAAATTGTTATAATAACTTTGCTTTTTGCATTATTATTAATAAGTCTTTGATATTATCTTTCAATCCATATCAAAATTTATTGATAAAGATTTTGTCATTCTAATCCATGTTGCAAGAAAGATTTTGGAATTCAATAATATATATAGTAACTAAACATGATTGTTACTATAAAAATAGAAGTTTTATATCTCCTTTTTTTTAATCACTTTCTTCAAATGCCACCATATATACTTTTAAGAATAAATTTAAATTATAAAATATTTGTAATTTTTTTTCTATCAAAGTTGCAAATCAAGAGAAAACACTTTCAAATAGAAATGTATCTATGAATCCAACTTGAGTAAATCCATGAAGATATTGGAGAAGATTTAATTTTAGATAGAGCTTAACTTATTGTATAAATCTTTGACATTTTGATCTTATTCCATTAAACTTCTTTGACATATTAAACCTTATTTCTCTCACACTTGTAGTAGTAAGGTTTTTTAAATTTAATTTTGAGATTGATATAAGTGCATAATTTTTTGATGTAGATATTGAAATTAATTGTTGATTTTTTCAACAAGCATAGGAATAGTACTTTTATGATTAATATTGATAATATGTAAGATTTATACTCTAAAAGTGTTGATAAATTCCTAAAGATTTGTCATTTTTACAAATCTATTCTCACTTTAGCCTACTTTAGTAAACATAATTTTCTCTTCAATCTTTATAACTAACAACTTCAACAAATCTTCAAGTCAAATTAAATGAAGGTAATTTACAATCTTTCATATCAAAAAATAATTTCCACAAAGAAAGATAGTCTACTTTTTTGAAAGAAAAAATCAATATTATAAAATAAAAAAATAATTTAAAGATGGATGCTTCAAAATTGTTAAAATATAATAAAAAAAAGTGATATAATCTATTCACTTGTAAAACAAAACAAGAACAATGAATTAGCATTCTTATTAAATTATCAAGGATATGAATTACAACAATAAAAAAAAAATCAATACATTCTTATGTCACTAGAAAAGAATAGATAATTACTCAAAGATGATATAATATTAAAATAGAATAGTTATTATTGAAGATTAGAAAACCAAAGACTCTTGAAACAAGTATAATGATAAGAAGGGCGTTAATAAGAATAAAGAAGGCTTTTCTCTTGCTTCTATTTATACTATCTAACTAGAAGCTATGTGGTGACATTCTATAAAAATTCCAATACATGTCTATCTTACAAGATAAGTTTCCTACTTAGGCACCAAGTAGCTAACATGTACCACAAGTCACCAACATGTGCAAAATGTGGCCAACTTGTTGGCTAATATTTTAATCTATCAATCACCTATACGTATGTATAAAGTCAAATCAATGCTAATAAAGCTTCTAAGAAGTTTTTATATAAGATATTATTGAATCTACTTCTACTTCTATCTAACTCCTTTAATCTAGGTAAATTTATATGTTTATGCCATGAGGTCTTTATCTTCTTGTATCTTGCAAGTAATAAACTTCTTGCTTGTGTAAAGAATGTTGGACGAATTCTTCTTCTTACAAATGTTACAAAGAGTCTTTTATGATTTTATTGGTTCTTTTTAAAAATAATATGATAAATTTTGCTTTATCAATATTAATTGCAATCAATCTAAAAGCCTTCTTTTCATGACATTTGTACTTTTGTTTTTTATACTTATTAACATATATGTTTTGAGGATTTTACTTTCATCTATAATATCCCAAAGATCAAATGAAGCAATCAAAAGTTTAATTTTCTTCTTCCAATTGTAGAAATTGTTACTTCTAAACATCTCAATTACTTTCAAGTCTTTATCTTTACTTGAAGCCATTTTTAAAGAAGAGATGTATTAAAAAGAAACAAAATGAATTTTAAAGTTTTCAAAATGGGCAAGAAGGTATTACTATCACAAAATCTTAGAATTCCCACTTAATAAATATATATATAGTGATTTATATCTTAAATTACTTTCAACTTTTCTTTAAGTTTTTTCACAAGTCTTGTAAATAATATAAACCTTATAAATTAGATGTGTTACTCTTAAATTATATTTATTCTTATAAATTAAGTACCTCAAGCTTCTTTCATATCTTAAACTTTAAAGCTAATCTACCAAAGTTCTAACTTAATAAGAAAATATAACATTAGTATTCTAAAACATTTCTTCAAAGTATAAAATAAACACCAAAATTAAAATATACTCAACAATAACAAACTAAAAAATTAGATTTAAGTATAGATCTAAATTTGAAAGTTAAAAGATCCAAAATGTAAAGATATATATCAAAATGATCTATCTCTCAAGCCAACTAAGTCTTCAAAAAACTTCAAAAATCACAAACAAATGCATATGGGACCTTAACCTATTAAAGAAAACAAAGTAAGAGAAATTATCTAAAAAATAGATAGATTTCATATACAATTATCTTCATCCTAATTTACTACATTCAATCAAACACTAAATTATTCTTCATTTGGATACCACCCACAATTCTAACTACTACATTAATAACTTGTACTAAGCTTTTATTGCCTTTTGACCATCAGCATGTCATTAAAATTAAACTCTAAATAGTGATAATTAAATCAAAGTTTATTGATTTTCAACAAGTGCTTATATTTTAATAAGCAATGAATTCTTAAAGGTCTCTAGAATAACGATGTAAGAGATGGAAGACTAAGAGTTGATATCATTTTTTAAAAAATTCAAAATCATTTACAAACAATTAGACAGGATCAAGGATTGATTAAAATGGTTTGGTGCAAAGGGCCTATTTCATTTATTATTCAACCATTACCATGTACGAGCTGGGTACATATTCTGCTGCTGCACTTCAAGCAAGCCCATGTAACAACTAATCCTCTCAGCAGAAATATGTTCCTGTTTGATGTCACGACCATTTGTCAAGCAATCCACAGAACCAAAGAAACGGGTGACATTCCATCCCACCTTGAGACATGAATTTTGACAGTGGACAACATATCAGAGGTAAGGCAGCGAGAGTGGGTCACGAGATGACTACAGACTTTGTAGTTAATTCTACAAAGTTGGAAATGTTGCTTTACAGCAAAAAAATGGTTGAATTGCTTACAATTACCATGCAACAATGGCCGCTATTCTAACAGTGAATTCGTTTCCCTACCATAGGTGCCAACTTGTTTGCAAGTCCATTGTATGGAGACACACAAACAAGGCAGCACCTTCAAGGGACTAATTGAATTCGGATGTATGTGGAAGAGATGTAGAAGTCACACTGTAAAAGCACTACCAGAGTTGGGTCGAACATTGCTGAAGAATACTGCAAGCTTCTATTCGGCAAGCTTCCTTCAAGCCACTCATGCAAGCCATTGCAGATGAATCTGCAAACGCCTGTCTGGAGACCAGTGCAAATCCTGGCCAACAACAGGATACGTGTGAGGAATTTAAATAAGTGTTTCGGATCTCTTAGCCAAGGATGGCACCTAAATCCATCCACATTCATTCTCCTCCAGCACGCGGTGCTTATTCCTAACAAATAAAGAAGAACAATACTGTCATAAAGTACTGGATTACTCGTCGTCGAAGCACGAGACTATATTAATGTACTAAGAAACTACAATTGACTACATCCATATCAAATCGAAGCTATTAATTATGTGTCAGCAGCACGGTAATAAAAGAAATTCAAGGTGAGTTTGAAAGAAACCATGTTACAGCGCATGCACTTAACTCGGAATAGAGCTATCATAGGCTACACGACATAAGAGGGGACCATCTATCTATGATAGTTTAGAAAAAATTAAGTGATGCCTATGCTGTCATGATCACTCACCAAATGAACAATGTAACTTATACTGTTTTCCTTGTGGTGGAAAGATTGCATGGAGTCTACTTCTGACTTCTGTAGTGTGAATGTTCCCATCTCATGGAAGATTCACCTGCAGCAATTAGCAACATGCAAATACATTGATTCAATAATTGAAATTTGACTTGGTTAGGTCTAGGTTCACATGAGGTCCACACAAGCAGGAAAAGTAGCAGCAGCCAAACCCAAGTACACAATTTGCACAATAAAAAAGTGAAATTTATCTGGCACCTTCGGGCTCAGTTGGACTTTGCTGGGACGGCCTTCTGCTTGTACTCGGCATGAATGATTCCGGAAATAACCTGAAGAGTTATCACATTAATTGTGTTCTGTGCTCTAGAAACTAAATCAAACAAGTGACCGATTTTAAGTTTGAAGCGGGACGTAGAGAAACCAATGAGAAGCTGCATGCTCACCCTAGATGTAGAGAGGTTTGAGAAGTCTGCGGGTCTCGGAGATTGATACGTGTGGGGTACACTGTGACCGCCTGTTGCTGTGAGCTGCCGCCAACTTCATGTGTTGGAGCACTAACGCCTTGCCCACCGGGGCTTCCTGATGTTGCAGCGCGGGCTGGGCCAGCTTCTAAGCTGAGCATTCCCTTAACGTCCGCAAGCTAAACACAAACACAACGAGGTCCTTTGGTCCATTATTATTTTCGGTGGCGACATGTCTACTATTTTTCAATTCAAGATAGTTCGGAAAAGCACAAAACTATCATTACGTATCGTCTTCCCTTTAGCTCGAGGTCAAATAATTCATTAAAAAAATTTAAAAATAGAGCATGTGCATACCCTCTGACGCAACTCCTCGTTTACGGCATGCAGGTCATGCTCCTGCAAATATAACACAAATCCAAGGTTCAGATCTATGATGAATGCTATCTACACAATGCTCATAAATCCGTGTTAATCGAGAGACGAAGCACTTCAGTGCCCTGTTTTTTATTGATACCTAAAGAGAAGAACCGGGGAGGGGATTGGGTTAAGTAGGTTTGGACACCTTTCTACGCAACTCTTCAATCTCTTCCAGTAAAAGTTGGTTCTGCAATAGTGAAACCCGGAAATGAATCAGTGATTCAGTTTGTAGAGCTGCTGATAGCTACCGACACTCTATCTGATTGTGTTCTAACAGCCATCCAGAAGTTACTTGTACGTCAAACAGCTGATTATGAGCAATCTTCTCCCTAATGTTTCACTCGTAAGCTGCACAAAGCTCGACTTTAAGCTCTGTTGGCCAGAGAATGAGAGAGGACACTTATAACACAGGTCAGCATGAACTCACTTCGTGACTCGAAGTACACAAGCTTGAGAAACGCTGCACGTATTAAATGTGGACTACCAGTAAGTCAAGACTAATGTACATCCATGAGAAATGCCTTTCAATCCTGTATAGCACCAAAAATACACTTCCTTCCATTTCCTCGCAACAGCAATGTGGCACTTGCCTTCCTCGCTCGAACTCGAGAAGCACCCATGTCCAGTTGCTGCTCCAATTGCAGAAGGTCAGGCACAGTTAACACTTGGAGATCCTCACCAAGCATGTGTCTGCAGCAGACAGTATACGCATCCTCAGTTTCGAGTTGAAACTACAAACTCTACAGAGGCTTTTGATTCAAACTTAGAATTAGAAGGATTGCGAGGAGGGAACCTTTGAGAATGCTGCAACCGCTCCAACTCCTGTCGCAGCTTCACCACTTCCCGACCCAGGAACTGCCAATGAGCAAACAAGAACACTGTCAACTAGCTGCAAGTGCATTGAATCCTCTAATCGATTGGAACGAAATAAACTTGTCACTTTAAGTTCGTCTGTCATTAGAACGACTAATGTCGTCAGGGAGTTAAATGAGACGTACGTCACTGTTAACGCCGGTCTGGGATCCATCAGGGCACTTACTATATCGCTCCAGAATGTCGCGCATGCTGCACAAGGCAAACAAGGGTACAACAGACGAAGAGGGGATCAGAAACCTTTAAATGGATCGGAGCACTACGCACAATCAATCACTCTCGACCGTCTCGACTTTAAATAATCAACTGCCAGAACATTACAGAAGTATCATGAAATGTTGTCGAGATTCTAAACCCTAACACGAAACTCTACGGGAAATTCGTTATTATAAAATCAGACAATTGCTGGGTCTACCGTAGCAGGATTCAAGTCTTTCGACCTACAGAAATCTATCCCCTGCAGGCCCCTAGTTGCTACAGTGCGCTTATCCTGTAAAAATTTATGAATTTGACGATTACACTGTTCTCGAAGTGCAGAAGCGTAATCACATGGCGATTGCGCTACTCTTCAGCGTATGCTATTCCAAGCTGCACATCGACAATGCCGGATAAGTTGGAAACGCTCAGAACTTACTGCTGCACGCTGCGGTTCCGATGTCAATCAGTACCTTCGGGATCTCAGCGAGTGACACTTAATGAACATACTGGAGATTGAGTGGGACATTTACGGAAGGACCAGTTGCAGAAGTCGTCCAATATCAACGTACAGAAGACCAGGTGCTAATTAGTTAAGCTCAATGCGTGGAGCAAAAGATGGGACACATACCCAACCCTGAGGAAATTGGGATGGAGGAACCGAGAGGGGAAGAAGCTATGTATGCATAGAGCACGCTGACGACAAATAGCGAGCGAGGCGGATGATTAAATTTTAACAATTGGTAAGCACTGATGAGGGGAAGTAACCCAGAATGCCAAGTGACAGAAACATGAATCGCTTAGTCACCAGGGGATGGAGAGGAATTTTCGGGATATACAGAACGAGAGCATTTTTAGTGCTTCGGCTAATGATTGAAGACTATCGAGCCGTAGTCGAGCTGAAGCATCTAACAAAATTTAAACTGCGAGTCAAAGAGAAAAGCGTCCCGCAGAGAAGAAGTTGGGATCATTCCGCTGAGAAAGTCTGCATGATCGTCCTACCTGCCTGAGCTGGCGAATTCGAACAGCTTTCCTGTGCTGGAGAAAATGATGAGGGCCACATCGGCATCGCAGAGCACAGCCAGCTCATGAGCCTTCTTGAGCAGCCCTCCGCGTCTCTTAGAAAATGTGACCTGCCTGCTGGTGGGATTCTCAATCTTCTTAATTTCTATTTTCCCGCGACCCATAACCACCTCGCGCTCTTTGGGTGGATCCACCTTTCCCACACCGGGAGACGAGCTATCCGCCGTGACTACGTCACACCCTCCGCCACTTTCCAAGCCTCTTCCCAGCAGCTCAAGTGACCCCTTATTGGAAGAATTGAGCGACAAAGAAAAGCACAAGCTTTTGCACTGCCCAGACGCTGTCATCATCCATTCCCCTCTTAACTACGACTCGCACGTCTCCTCGTCTACTTCCTCTACTGCTCGACACACATCGCTCGACCTTCGCAATGAAAGCCGCGCCTCTAACCTCGCGCCAGACTTTATATTCCGCTGCACATAGATACTAAACCAGACCAGCTCACCAAACATCGTTCCTTCCAATCAATCCCTGAACAGCCCCTGTCCTCTCGCAGAATGCACTTGAGGATTACTCTTCAAGCACTCCACCAAAGCCTCGAGATTAAACTTAACTACACACTCCAGCTGCTGCTCCTGCTTCTGCTTCTGCTCCCGCCGACCATGGAACCAACTCTCAACTTCCTCAACTTCCTCAACTTGTCTGCAGCAAGAGTCCGCGACGGCTGTCACTCAGCCAAATGGCGCCCCAGCCTTGGACTTTCGCGGTGGGGTTCTAGAGGCGGATTCTTGACAGCAGGTGGAGACAGGAGAGCGATGAGAGGAGGGAGCACTTGTTCGAGGTGGGGTCTGCAGGGATAGAGTGAGAGAGTCGTCCACCATGTTTGTGATCAGTGGCCCAGCAGGGTCAAAAGAACGGGATGTTTGAATCTGAAGGATACGCAGAGCGAGCGAGCGAGATCCCCAAGTGAGATGGGTGTTGCAGGCATAAAATAATAAAATAAGGAGAGAGAGAGAGAGAGAGAGAGAAAAGAGAGATGCTAGTGCCTGACACTCTCCCAAAATTTACGATATGTAGGCACCGCAGAGCGGCGCTCTGGCCTAGGCTACCATACTAACACTGGATATGTGGCAGGCGGATTGGTGCCGCCCCCGCAAAAGATGGAGCGGGCTCCGGGGCGGAACATATATCTGCCCCCGAGCTCCTCCCCGATTCCAACTCCTTTCAACTTTTCACACCATCGCTCTGCGCCTATTACCAATTCGTGATGAGAAAAGCATATATATATATATATATATATATATTTAGCTGTCTAGCTAGGGAGATGTTAAAGTGACCCCAGGGTTTTATTAAATCGACCCATCCCGTTCCTAGTGTTGATCCCAACCCCTCCCATTCCCAATTCTTATCCTGATCCCCCCCTTCCCTACTTCTCAGTGTGGTGATGTGTTGATATGGGGGCAGTGGGCCTGGTGTGGCGTTTGTTGGGCAAATGGAGGCTATGGTGAGGATCAACAACTCCCTCTATTGAAGAGCAGTGAGAACACTGCTTGGCATGAATTGAACCATAAAACCATGGCTGATTTTGAGCAACCTACACAGGTGAAATCTTATGCAAAGATTATGCAAAGTGAAAGTGAATGCATTTCAAATTTGCACTGGTGGGACATTCAAGTGAAATCTTATGCAAAGATTACACTAACCAAGTTGCTTGGATGTTTGTGCAAGCTCCTTGCAACCAATGTGTTAATAAGAGACAAATTTTCAACATTTGAATGCCCCACCAGCGCAAATTCTGGATATCCTTCACAAGGGTACTCCAATTTCTTGCTACTACTCTTGATGAAATCATCTGGCTTTATTAGCACAAGTTCATTGAATCTTATATTTTAGATAACAAACCTCCATACAAATTTGAAATGAAAATACATGAAAAAAATCACAATGAAACAAACATGTTGACTATACTAGCAAGCTTATCATGTATGTCTTGATTGTTGCTAAGAGCATGCTAACCATTACCAAATAGGAAAGACCCTCTCAACTACACTAGAGCCTATGAGTAGAAAGCACGACTAAAGCCCATTCTTGTATCATTGTGAGTATAGAATGAAGAATTTGAAGGAGCAAAGAGGGTTTCTATAATATTGTTCCATTAGCAAGTATGTGATCATAGCTCAATTGTACAAGTTCAACAGCACAAATACATGCAGCCAACAGTGTGTGATGGATATCTTTATCACCTACCACTTCTTTTCTAATCCTTGTTTTACATATGGATAATGGAACAATTACATAAAAAATGCAATTTCAGACATTAATTTAAAAAGTAATCATTCATTTTAAAAATGATGGCTTCATGTTGATTTCCAATGATGATATTAGCAAAACATCTAATTTTAATAAATAGAAATTCCAACATTTTTTAAAGGTGGAGTAACAACACACATGAGCCAAAGTTTTTAATATAGTCATTGTATAGTTATTGTATGATTGTGTGTTATTTCTTAAATTAATACCAAGTCCTTCAAATAAAACTCTTACAAAACAAGCTCTACCTTTATCAATGCATGAACAAAATTTGAAATAAGAAAAACCATCTTCTTCTATAGGCATATTCTCTTCTTCATCAGATGAAGTTTTTTCTACTAAATAGTCTAAAGCTTCTTTAATTTTTATCTGAAATATTGCATAGTCAAATGAATTACGAATATTTTTATTTTATTTTATTTTAGTTTAGTTTTAATTGGATTTACTTGTAAATGGCACAACCTAAGCATGTGGATTGCAAAAAATCCAAATGCATAATTTATAGCTTGGTATAGTCTGCAAGTGCACAACTGTATGGCATATGGATCAAATAGAATTAGAGGTGCCTATAGGAGATTGATGGTTTTATGATTCAATACATTCCAAGTAATGTCTTCATTATTATTTAGTAGATGGAGCTATTGATTCTCACTACAGCCTCCATTTGATCAACAAATGCCACACCACACTTATGGCCCTCTACATCAATGTATCATTTCAAATTAGGAATCGGAGAGGTTGGCATAAAAATTTAAAATATAATGGATTGATTTAATAAAATCTTGGATTATTTTAATATATATATATATATATATATATATATATTAGTCATTATTATTTCAAAGAGAGTAAAAATCTTAATTTGGAACCAAATATTAAAATAGTATGTAGTAGATATTCATTGTATATTAAAATCTCATCATTCCATTGCTTATTCTTGCTATTTTTAGTCTAGTGTGGCCACATCATTATTATTGCTACTGCAACAGTAAGCACTATGTGCCATCAATTGCCTTGAAAATTCTCTAGATTTGGCATTGACATATTGTGGTTCAGCTATCATGTGAAAATAATGTACACACATATTTAAAATATAATTTACTATATAATGTAATAAGAGCCATATAATTAGATTTTAATTGATTATAAAATGTGATTAAATTATTACTTTGAAGTAGTTAGTCTAAAATGGCAACTATTGAGGTTGATTTTTATGCTGATAATAGTTTTATATATTTAGAGCTACCTTTTTTATACATTGGTGATTCTTAAAATCTTATTTTTTATTTTTTATTTGATGTTTAGGATACATATTATATAAAAGTTATTAGAAAAAAGAATTAGAAAAAATTTTGATATCAAAAAGAGTAGTTAGACTATCTATATGGATGAATGGTGATGGATGATAAAAATTTCCATTCTTATTAGCCAAAATTCATGTCTAATGTGCTTGAAGGAGGCTGCTTGAGGCCTTATTGGAGATTAGGATTATTCTTTTAAGGACAATCAAACATCAAAAGCAAGGTTTAATAAGTTTAGATTTTGGATATGGTTTTGGTGCAAATTTTATATAATTTGGAATTTTTTTGAGGAGATATGGGTGCTCAAAATTAAGGTATTGATTTTGTACCTATTGTCATTCTTTGGGACATAACGCATGTGTATAAAAAGCAATAAAGGATTGGCAATTGAAGTTGGAGAAATCACTTTCTTTGCTACACTTTACTTAAATTGTTCAATAAATTTTAAGTTAAAATAAAGGAAATATTGGAAGTTGAAGTTAGTGTTTAAAATCTAAGAACAATAAGTAACCCAATTTTTTAGTGGTTGTGTTTTGAGCTATATCTCAAGTAATTTAACAAGATTTTGATTCAATTTTTTTAAGAATATGTATTATCATACTATTAAATTGCATACAAATATTTTTGTCGCATTGAAATTTTGGATTTTTGAGATATGAAGAAAATAGTACTTGAGTACTTATAAATTGGGATTTAGAGTATCTACTAGGATTTCTAAGATGCCAAATAATTGGTAGTAAGTTTATGGTTTATTTTTCTATAATAAAACTTTAAAATAAATTCTATATTACTTAGAAATTTGAAAAAAATTGAACTATTGGATCAAGAAATATGAAATGCTAAAGTTTGAGAAAGAATATATATATATATATATATATATATATATATATTATAGAAAAAATATTTTTGAAAGAATTTTGCTATAATTTAAGCATTTTCTATGAAGTAAAGAGATTTTTGGGAGTCAAGATGGATACATGGAGCTATGATAAAATTTTGATATAAATATAAGTTTTGAAAGGAGATTATAGATTTTCTTTGAAATTATTGAAAATCTGACTTATCAACAAATGATTAGTCTTAATTTGGTATAGCAAAGGATGTTAAGAAATTTCTAGATGCTTTAGAAAGTCTTATGTACAAAATTTCTTAAATATAAAAGGTTTTTATTAATATAATATTTTTTGATATAGTTATATTTATTTGCACTCTACATTAAGAATAAATCACTTACTGGAGCTTGGCCAATAAGTTAAAGCTAAACTCTCTATAGCTAGATACCCAATGTATTCCCAAATTGTGAATCATGCCATATGACAACACTTCCAATATTCTTAACAAGATTAGCCTTGATCAAATCATTTGGCATTTGTTCTGTATGGCCATTGCCTTATCTTTCTATAGGAAGCAAGGGCCAATTTGTGTGATTCTGGTTGCTTATTCATGGTCAACACAAAGTAACAAATTTTTCCATTGCAATTTTACAAAAGCATAATTGTCTTATTTTTTTCTTTTTCTTTCCGATTAATGTCATCATACTAGTGGAATATCAATTTGACTAATAATTTGTTTGTATTTGTGTGTTTCCTGGTAGATGGTGTTGGACAGAATTATTATTTTTTTGCTGCAAGGAGAACAGAGTAAAGGTGATCTGCCCACATGCTAGTGTCTATTTCAGGACAATTATAGAAAGAAATAAATGCTTAATATATTTGTTTCAGAAATGCTAGAAGAATGATCTGAGAAATGACCACTTACAAGAAAAAATAAGTGGATTGTCAGGACATCAGAGAGTAACAAAACAACAAAGTAGCAACCAAGTCGTGGAAGCTCTAGTATCCTTGTGACTGCACTGAACGCACATCTGCAGTTGAGATCCACAGCTACGTGAGAACATTTTCTGTTCAAAATACACAAAAACCAAGCTTGCTTTATTGCAAGGTGAAACTTGACAATTGACACTGCTGGATGGCTGGTAACTTCCTTGCACACCCAATTCATACTATGTTAAGAAATGAAGTGTAGCAGCCTGCACGAGAATAGAAGCTGTTTTCCCCATGGGTTAGTTAATTTAGGGCTAAAAAAGTGTGATTTGCTACTGCAGTGGGAAAGCTAATCATGTGATGTCACCTCAACTAAGAATCCACTTGGTCAAGATTTTCTCTAGACTACTGCATGTATGTTTGTGTTTATGTTTATCTTTTTCTCCTTCTAAAGAGAAAAAATTAGTCTTGCAGCTAATGCTTGCATCACTGAATTTGTTGTTTCAAGATTTATGCATCCATATGCAGTTTGTGTGCGGAAGTGAAGATCCCAAAATACAAGAGAGTTTGAAACCGATGTTGACTGTTGAATAAGAACATTGAATGCACACTAGTTTTTATGTGGTGGATATTGGTATCCACTTTGTGTGTATTTGA